GTGTTAGGGCACCACCAAAGGATTTATCCACTTAGATTTTCAGCAGCTCAAATCTTCCATGAGCATTTGTCAGTGGCAATTTGTCACCACTACTTTACTCCCATTCCTTCTCTGAATCTCGCAATTTGTCAGTGTGCAGAGAATCTAAGCAGCTGCCCCCTCAGAGTCACAGTTTCTTCGTCTAAAGCATCACTCCCTGCAGCTGACTGGCCCGCCTGTGTGCTTGTCCAGTGCAGAGGCCAAATTCAGAATTACTTTGATATTTGTGTAATCATCCCTCCCTCTGCTATGAGTGCGGGATCCCACCCACCACAATCACAATCTCAGCTCTGTGAAGTGATGCTTCAGGCTAGCATGTACAATAATTCATGAATTAGCCGCTCACCAGATGCACCTAGCACAGATTTCAAAGAATGAGATCAGGGTTACAATCATATACAGTGTGTTACAATCAAATGAAGTCCCCAAGCACCCACCTACACAAGGATACCCTACCAACAATCACCCACATGATAGAGTAAACACCCACATGATCACAAGGCTAGTGAAATCCACTGCAGCAAGCAGAAGTTCCCCCCACCACCACTACACGCTCCAGCCTCGGCAGCCCCCCCTGTGTTGCTTGGAGTTGCACTTGGCAGCTGCTGGATCTGCAGAGAGAAGGGCAAGGTATGGAGGTGGTACCAATCAGTTTCTCAGCACATGCACAGGCGGGTGTGGTGGGCCCCGACTCTTCCACGCTGCAAAGGGAGAGCTGCTATGGCCATTCCGTGCGGCGCACATGCTGGCATCATGAGGGCTGAGCCCCACAACACATGCACATGGGATATGAGGTAGGTGAGACCGGGCTGGCAATGAAGGCACATGCGACAATACTTGCGAGGTTTGTGCGCTTCAAAGGGACAGCTCGCATAACCTTCCCATGGCACGCAGTGTGCGCGGCAAGGCACTCCCTTCACATGGTTCCATGGCGGAGTGTATGCAGCATACCAGCACCACACCCCGCAATGATATTGCCCTCTCGGTAACAAAACGTTGTTCTCGCACCAAGATGCATCTCCCACTCACCAATACCCATTAGCCGCGCATATACTAAGCAGTTTCGCTTTGTTCTCCTCGCAGGCCTTCCTCGACGCTGCGGTAGGATGCGTCCACGAATTGCAGTTTTTCTTCCTCGCTGCATCGCAATCGGACTTCAAGAATAGGCCGACTGAAAATGAGCGACATCAAGGGAGGCAGGAGAAAATGGACGGATATGAGCTGCTTTAGGGCGCACCCTGCTTCACTAGTCCCTTACAGCCAACTGCCGGTCCTAAATCTGCCAATGCTGCCCAGCCAGCTCCTTGTATACAGTAACACCAGTAAACCATAGAAGAACAGGAACAGGAATAACCGCAGGGACAAATCATGTGGGGGCTTTGGCTTGATCATTCCTACCCAGTTCGCGGCGGCGTCCCTGCTCGTCCCCCGCGCTGTGCTGAGCAACACTCGGCGCGCTCTCTGCCGTGATGACGCCGCCAGCGGTGTCTACCGCTCCCGACGCACCTGCCGCCAAGAAATAGGTTCGCGCAGGGGACGAGGAGACAGGGGTAAGGGGTGAGGGGAGGCAAGAGGAGGGAGTGAATGTCAGGCGCTTCCCCCTTGTGTTTCACAGCGTGGGGACGTGAGGCATGGGTTGGTCTCAGAGGTGTGCGCGTTCAGAGGGAGAAGCGACGGGCCGTGCAGAGTGATTCACGAGAAAATGGCTGCAGTACAGTGGCAAGTGGCAAGCGGTGCAGTTGCCGCTTGACAAAGGTGAGAAGGGAGGTGGAGGGCGTTGGGATAGGGGGAGAGCGCAAGTGAGGAAGCAGCAGTGTGTGCAGGTACGACGCGAGGACGTGCTCATTTTTTCGAAATGCGCCGCGTCACCATCGCACGGGGCCTGCGACTTCACATCGTATGGGTCTGCGACTTCCCATCGCACGGATCAGCGAATTACCATCGCAATGGTCGGCGAGCTACCAAAACGTGGAGCCAACGTCTCTCGCTTCTCGGAATGCACGTTACCATCGCACGGAAATAAATGACAGTCATCATCGCAGGCGACTTACCATCGATTCCATTGCCACGAAGCTGATTAGATCGAGCAGCAGCAGTAGAAACGGATGATGCGAGAGTGACGGTAAAGGCAAGCAGGAGAGCGAGAGCAGTAAGCAGGCGCGCCATGATTACTACTAGTAGCTAGTGAAGAGGATCCAGGGAGTTGGAACTTGGAACTTGGAAGCGGGTGATTCAAGAGCTTTGAAATGTGGGACTGGCTTTGGGATGGGAAGGGAAAAGGCGTGGGTGGGTATTCGTATGGGCTGAATTGCAGTTGCTCATGCTCAGCGCAGTCAACATCGCGAATCGCAATCCTCAGCGAATCACCATCGAGAAACTTGGTTAGACGCGTTCCAAACATAATTCATCCGAATATATCACTTGACTACGAGGTGGATGCTGGGTGGTGTGGTGTGTTACACACGTTTCCAGTGCGTTACATAGAGTTAACAATCGGTTTGCTTGAATCACTAACGGGTTCTCAGGAAATTGTTCGCGTTCCCAGCTGTTGTGTTTGACAGCCCGTATACATTTCGCTTTCACCCTGACTGCCCGAGCTGTACCTGTAAGAACCGAATGTTGTCGAAGGTGTCGGGATCCAGTTTCTAGTTTTAGTCAGTGGTATTGTCGAAGGTAGAGAACTAGATGTAGGAAACAGGAAAGTTGGTAGGGTGATAAGGAGAGAAGAGAAGAAGAAGAGAAGGAAGCGCTAGCTACTGTGGTGTAATGTCATCAATGGCTCGGACGCCTGGCTGCAAAGTAAAGTATCAAACTTAAATTCATCGACTGTTCCCGCTCAGAATCCTTTTAGTACTCCGCGCATTGTGAGTTTACGTGAACCACCACTTCGGGCACATCCCCATGAAAATACTTGACTCTCCTGCTCTACGCCCAAGAAACTGCTTGAATCGCCGTGAGATCCGGGGGGGGCTAACAGAAGTGAATCATATGAACTACACGGTTTTGATTTGAGATGCATAGCTAAACAATAACCAAGTATCCAGAGTGTTCAACTAACGTAGATGGTGTATGAGGATTTTATTTTAAAACAAGTCCAGGATTTCCATTAGATTAGGCGTCGTCATGAAAAGTAATATATGGTGTTTTGAAATGAAAACTAACACTTTGTATCGAGTATCGGTATAATTGTGCTAATATCGATAAAAATTCGCGTGCTTAAGTTTTTTTCCAGATTTCCATTGGAAGGGTGAGATCGAAGTGCCATACCTACTATTTACAGGATTCTCAGGATATTTACGTACCGTACATGCATCAACTTCTGGTATAATTGATTGCCGTTACATAGGATTATGGAATGACATGCGCATCCACAAGCAGCCGAGACAACTTATCGGAAAACCCTCCTTGAATAAACACCTCATGCTGGCCTTTTTTGCATGCAAGGGGAAAGGCAATAAGCAGAGATGAGGGAAGAGGCAAAAACTGAAATGGGTGGGTTTCGTGCAAGAAAATAGACGAAGATAATTGGGGAAACAGAAGGGGGGTTAGAAACGAGGGGGAATAGGAGTGCATAAGAAAGGGTGGAAGATGGGAACCTTCAGCAGATAAAACGGTGCAGGGAACATCTGCAGCAGGGACGTGTTCCTCTAGAATTTCTGCAGCTCTACAGGCAATACTCACCTGGCTACTTTGAGGCGCCTCAAAAGCAGGGAGGGGTCTACTTTTGAGGCGCCTCAAAAGCAGGGACGGCTTCCTCTAGAACTTCTGCAGCTCTACAGGGCTATACTCACCTGGCTGGCACTGTGCACTCATTGTGCTCCTTTACAAAAGACAATGCATGAACCTGCTGCCGGACCTGGTAGGTTCGGGACCTCGTAGGGTCGGTAAAGCCCTGGCACCTGGTGGTGCAGCTGCGCCCACCTGGCACTTGAGCCACCGACATGCTCGAAGCAGACCTGTTAACACAGGCATCCGTTACCCCCAGTATCTGTCAGCCTTCACACGCACCTGTTGCAGCAAAACCCACCTGGCAATTCAGCCACAGATGTGCTCGATGCAAACTTCCTCCTCAGCTCAGCAGCGATCGGTTCAGCGTCCACCAGGTAAGCCTCAACGCCTATCAACCGCGTCACCTTCCTGCTGCCCTGCCGCCCCCTCACAAATACCTGCACCGGTTCTACCTCCCCTTTCTGCTCCACACTCCTCCCCCCCCTTTCTCCACCCTGTGCTGTGCCTTCATGCTTAGGGCACAGGGAGTAACAGGGAGTCTAGGTCTCGCTTAGGGCACTCCGTTGGGTAAGCCGCTGCCTTATTTATCGCGCCTTTGTACAGTGCGTCATAGAGAGTTGTGTCGAAGATGACTATAGAGGGGTCGGAGGTTTTTGTGAGGGAGTGGAGGGATATGTAGGAAAGAGCGGCGTCACGAATAGCAGAGGGAGAGTAATAGGCGTTTGGGTCGAGACCAACTGCTTCGAAGAGGGGAGACACCTGGAGAGACGGTTTAAGCAACGCTTCTACCGTTGTGGTGGTTGTGACGGTGCCGGATCCGGTAGCTATCCCTGAGCTGCCTTCGGGTGCAGTGACAGGGGCTTGGGCGAGATGTGACCAGGAGATGTGATGACATTACAATTGAAAAGCATAGACAACATCAGCACTCACACACACTCATTTACAATTGCACTCACCCTCACACCTATCTAACTCAAGCGCACTCACCAGCCAGTCAACCGCCTTGGCATGCAGCCACTTGGAGAGGCACTCGCGCGACAATAAGTTAAGAACGCACATGAGAGCACATCTATCTCACTCACTCCCTCACTCACCAGCCTGTCAACAGCCTTGGCATGCAGCCACTCACCAGAAGGAGCTCCCCGCCAGGGGCAGGTGGGAGGGCTTGACAGGGATAGAGAGGGCCTGCAGCAGACAGCGATCCAACAACTGGTCCATCTGTGCCGGTGTCAATGCCACCTGAGGGAGCTTACCAGAGAGAGCTGGCTCCCAGCAGCAGGTGGGAGGGCTTGACAGGGACAGAGAGGGCCTGCAGCAGACAGTGCTCTAGCAGCTGGTCCGTCTGTGATGGCTTCATTGGTGGTGCTGCTGCTGCTTCTGCTGCTGCTGCTGCTGCTGCTGCTGCTGCCGCTTCGGGTATGCACTCTTCTGCACCTGGTGCAGTTGTTTCACCCCCCTACCTACACACAACAGCAGTAACGGCAGCAAAGGCCGCAGTATCGCCACCACCGCCATCACCACCACCATGGATGCCTAGACAGTGCAGAGACTCTGACCGGTGCTCTGAGAAATCTGCTGCCACTGCTTCCGCTGCTGCTGCTCCTTCTGCTCTTGCTGCTGCTGCTGCTGCTGCTGCTGCTGCTGCTGCTGCTGCTGCTGCTGCTGCTGCTGCTGCCACTGCTGCTAGTCCCTCCCCAGTCACTGCATCTGCCCCACCCTCCCCATAACTCCCAAACTCGCCCCACCCTCCGTCCCTCTCTCCTCCGCAACCTGCAAAAGCACCAGACTTATCGTCATGCGAAGCTTCACGTAACTCATGAGGTGAAGCTTTGCATGAGAGCCCTGACGTTAGTGCTACGGTGGAAGGAAGTGCAAAGGCATACATAGGAAGGAACTAGAGAATGGAGACCTTGGCAGTGAAGATAGTGCAGTGAGGCGACTTTTGAGGCACCTCAACAGTCAGCCATCCTGACCAGAACAAGTTGTAGTAGTGGGTATTTCGGAGGAGCTTCCCTCTTAGGCCTGCCTGGATGGGCTATTTACTCCCCGTCATTGTGATGCCTACCTGGTGTGAGTGAACAAGTGTGCGCACACACGCGCGTGTATACACGCAGGCACGCACGCACGCACGCCCACACACGCATGCGTGAAATTCCATGCTCGCACATGCACACGGAAATAAGAGTGGAAACATAGCATTACATGGGATGGAGCTGAGTGCATCACCCGCTCCTGCAGAGTGAAGGCGAATGTTCCTCAGTGTGCATTACATGGGATGGAGCTGTGTGCCCGTTACCGGTGAAATGTATTTCCAGCACGTTATTTAATTTACCTCGCTAGCACTGCTCATTACTGTGCTGCGACCGTCTTCCAGTCAACCAAGTTCAGTCCTTACAACAGGCATACGTCACGACCGCCAAGAAGCCTGGACAAGACAAGAGAGTGAGAGCATATAAGACAAGAGAGTGAGAGCATACAAGACAAGAGAGTGAGAGCATACAAGACAAGAGAGTGAGAGCATACAAGACAAGAGAGTGAGAGCATACAAGACAAGAGAGTGAGAGCATACAAGACAAGAGAGTGAGAGCATACAAGACAAGAGAGTGAGAGCATACAAGACAAGAGAGTGAGAGCATACAAGACAAGAGAGTGAGAGCATACAAGACAAGAGAGTGAGAGCATACAAGACAAGAGAGTGAGAGCATACAAGACAAGAGAGTGAGAGCATACAAGACAACAGAGTAAGAGCATACAAGACAAGAGAGTGAGAGCATACAAGACAAGAGAGTGAGAGCATACAAGACAACAGAGTGAGAGCATACAAGACAACAGAGTGAGAGAAGAGGGGAGTAGACACCACGAATGACGGATTGGAAGCACAGCGCGCCAGGCAGCGTTACTAGAGACAAAGAAATGGTTGGAAAGGTAGAAACGGGCGACATGAGGTTTCATGACCAAACGCACTGGAGGAGCTTTTGAGAATTCTCAAAAGCACCGAAGGAGCATTGTGACGCAATGGATGGGGAATGGAGCAGCATGGGACGGAGGCTAAGGCGGGACGTGGAGCACGGAGCAGGGGGTATAGAAAGGAGAGAGAGGTGGAGCATGGAGCATGGAGCAAGGGGGATCATGGGGCATTGTGGTGCAAGGGGAGAGGCACGTTACACGTACAGCAATGGGGCAGAAGTTTCCTGGAACCTTCACGGACCACACCTCCCCTGGTTGGAACAATGGCATGCCTCATCGACTCATCACACGCTGGCAGGCACCTTGTGGTGGGTGGCCATTACAGGTGAACCCACATTACAGGTGGGGAACAGGGGAAATGCAGGGGTTGGGAGGAAGAGGGGCGGGGAAGAAGAGACGGGAGGCGTGGGATGTTAGCCCGGGGGGGGGGGGGGGGGGGGGGGGGGGTTGGTTTTCAGGGTTCAAGGCGTCTCAGACCTTCCGGCCTTTCGGGCCGGAAAGATGGCAGCATTTCGGGCTCGCGCCACAGCGCAGACACTGGGTTCGGGAAGTTTTAGGGTCGGGTTTGAACAGAGGAGAGTGGGGTGGGGAGCATGTAACACTGAACCAATAAAGACAGCGAGGAATCCAAAGCGCGCAAGCATAGAGCGGAAAAAGGGAGAGGTCGTTAGAACAAACAACGACGATTCGATAAACTTGCGGGTTATCAGGAGGCGGATACGGGGACCTAAACGTGGAAAATAACCGGGGGGGATACGAGGGTAAAAGCGGGGCACCTTGGGCGGCAGGATCGCTACTAAGGAGCACCTTGGGCGGCAGGATCGCTACTAAGGAGCACCTTGCGCGGCAGAAATGCTACTAAGAAGCACCTTGGGCGGCAGGATCGCTACTAAGGAGCACCTTGGGCGGCAGGATCGCTACTACGAAGCACCTTGGGCGGCAGGATCGCTACTAAGGAGCACCTTGGGCGGTAGGATCGCTACTAAGGAGCACCTTGGGCGGCAGGATCGCTACTGAGGAGCACCTTGGGCGGCAGGATCGCTGCTGAGGAGCACCTTGGGCGGCAGAATCGCTACTAAGGAGCACCTTGGGCGGCAGAATCGCTACTAAGGAGCACCTTGGGCGACAGGATCGCTACTAAGGAGAACCTTGGGCGGCAGGATCGCTACTAAGGAGCACCTTGGGCGGCAGAATCGCTATTAAGGAGCACCTTGGGCGGCAGGAGTGCTACTAAAGAGCACCTTGGGCGGCAGGATCGCTACGAGCACCTTGGGCGGCAGAATCGCTACTAAGGAGCACCTTGGGCGGCAGGATCGCTACTAAGGAGCACCTTGGGCGGCAGAATCGCGTCCAGCTGCTTGTCGGTGGCGCCTGAAAACTTGTTTCGCAAGTTTCGCCCGAACGTTGCTGCCCGCGAACGTCGCTAGGCTTTTGAACATGACGGCGATCGTACAGCTAAAGAAAAAACAGGTCGTTTTGAACGATGATATAGCTTGAAGCCTTTTTCTTCTAGATGCCTCTATTCCGAAGTCGCGGTTTCTAAGGACAGGGGAGGACTAGGCGACACTGCGAAATCGGGGTGGGAATCTGGGATGGGCTCAGGGCGTGTAAACTTTGCAGTTCAATGCAAAAGCCGAGCTCGCAATTTCTTCGTCTATTTCGCGAAGACACGAGTTCCGTAGAATCTATTGTAATACTTAGCGATTTCGCGAGCAAAGTGCAAATTCGCGAATTCACGGGCCAAGTGCAATAAGGCACGAGTTTCGTAGTATTTGAGGTATTTTAAGGAAAATTCATTTTTCTTACATGTTCCCGCCAACAGTGTTATGAGTTGTAAAAGAGAGTGCGCAGGTAAACAAATAACGAGAGTGTGAATCAATGATCTGCGAATACAATGAAGGCACAGACTAATGTAGGGACTAGCCTAGCTAGGAGGGAACCTCCGACAAGCGAGGTTGGGTGCAGGTTTGGTGATTGGGAAATGCCGAAGGCGACGCGAGGAACCTCGGCAGCATTGAAATCGGCCGAACGTGCGAAGTCCGAAAATCGGGCTGTACGCGAAGTAGTCAACCCCGATAAGGAATTTGGGGAAATTCCTTACACAACCCCCCCCCCCCCCCCCCCCCCCCCCTTAAGAAAGGCGGCCAACATCCGAAACACGCCTGCGCGCCAAATAATCATGAACAAGTGGCGAGGCGTCTAGCGAGTCGGAGTGCACCCACGTGTCGTCTTCACTGGTGCGATTAGTCCAACGGATGAGGAAATCCACGTGGCGACCAGCTGCGTCAAGGCGAACCCGATGTGCCAGAATCTTCGAAGGGTCAAGAATCGGCTCTGGGACAAGTCGTGCAGTTGGGGCAGCTTGTTGCCGTGCAAAGACGGTCGTGGCTGGCACGAATTTTCGAAGCAGGCTGACATGGAAGGCGTCATGGATGCGCCAGTCGTCGGGTAGTAGCAGCTTCGCGGTGACAGGTGTTACCATCTTGATAATCTTGAATGGCCCACAAAATTGTGGCCGTAGTTTTGACGGGCCGGGCAGGTGCAGGTTCTTCGTGTCAAGGAGCACTAGTTGCCCAGTTGTCAAGACGAGTTCCCAGCGTAGGAGGTCGGTATATTTCCAGGACGTGATATTCGCCTTGCGAATTGCGTCGGCGGCTTTTTCTTGGACTTCCTGAAGTTCCGTCACAAATGTTTGTGACCTCGGGACCAGGTTGTCGAGAGTAGTCGCTGTAGGAACTGTCGGATCCATCCCGTAATTCAGGAAAAACGGGGAGTGATTAGTCGTGCTCGACGGGGCGTTGTTGAATGCGAACTCCAACATGGCGAGTGATTCTTCCCAGCGGGCAGGGTCGGGGCAGTTTTTCCGTATCAGCTACTCCATGGTCTGATTGGTCCGCTCCGTCTGGCCGTCCGTCTGTGGGTGGTATGCCGATGAGAACTGTAGCTTCAAGCCGTACTACGCCCATGTCTCCTTCCAGAATTTCGATGTGAACTTCGGGTCTCGGTCGTTGATGATCGCCGAAGGGATTCCGTGCAGTCGCACGACCGTTGAGATGAAAAGGCGCGCAGTTTCCTCGACTGTGATTGTTTTTCGGCATGGGGCAAAATGCGCCATCTTCGTGAAGCAATCGACGACGACGAGTACAGCGTCGTTGCCGGACGGCCCTGTTAGAATAGTAGGCATAGCCAGGATAGTAGTCTAGGGTTTAGACCTAGGCAAGAGAGAGTTGTCCAAGCAAGAAGGGTTTGCACTATGTGAAGACAGGTACAAATAGATGAGAAGCAAGCTAGGAGTGGTGCACCACCACACTGAACACATTTGTGACTACACTACAGCTAGACTACATGCACTTATATGTGACCACATATGGAATATATGTTCTGACACACCCCCTAAGTGCATGCAGGAATAGCCTTGTGCAGAACAACCCCTGAAGTGGTGCACCCTGCAAGGAGTAGCAGAAGAAGAGGCGAAGTGAGGAGGAGGAGGGACTGTGAGAGAAGTGGAGATAGGAGGCGACAGGTGAAGCCGCAGTCACACGGGCAACAGGAGCGGCACGCACAGTGGCTACCGAGCGCATGAGGGCACCGGACTACGGGGGTATCTGGCTTCGCGGCTACAACGAGCGGCAGGAGCAACGGACCCACAGGTGACTGGCGAAGCATGCTCGCTGGGCTACCGAGAGCACGAGGGCTCCGGACTACTGGCGCTGATGACGACACGACGGCGACCTCCGCTCAACCTCCCCTAACAGTCCCA